AGGCACATCAGTCGCCCGCCCCTGGACGGCCACTCACGCTGGCTGCTGGCTACACATGGTAGCCCATGGTAACCCACTGCAGCAGGAGCTGCAGTCTACGCTGTCGCCCGCGATTCTCAGCAGCCCAGCTCCAGGTTAAGCTGTTGTTCAGCATCTTAGCTGTAGAGGGTAGTGTCACTGGCCCTCATATGTGGGATCCGAACTGGGGCCCTCTGGCGTCCCAAGCCAGTTCTTAACCAACGCACCACTGGGCTGGCCTAGGGTCATATATTTTGACTTTAAAGATACTCTAGTATTTTTAGTTCCCTGAGAATGGCCCTCTTTGAATGCTTCAAGTAAGAAGTAGGGTATGTTCTGGAGTCTTGACAGGATTCTAAAGAGCGTCTAGTATAAATGGTTCCGTTCAGTAGAGAGCATTTCCAACTTGTCTAAAAACTAAAGTATGGAAAAAGCAGCACTCTCTTACAGACTTTCCTCAGTGTTACTCATTCCCTTCTCTCTGCCTGCATCATATAGCCCAAGTTTTCCATTCCAAAAGAATATATTAGCCCATTAAGGATTCAAATGTGACAACAGAATTATCGTGCCATAACTTCCTAAATTACAGTATATTAAAATAATAAAACATATTTTGGATATAGGAGTGAAGATATGTACTATAAAAGTCATAATATAATTCTATTCATATATTTTGGATAAAGACATCAGTCATTTAATTCGTACTACATAGTATGAGTTTTTTCCTTTGTCTACCACCAGGGGGCAGGGTATGCTAACTATTGAATTTGAGGATCCTGAAAGGCACGCAAGAGGTGATTTTAGACAGAAGTGAGAAAGTTCCACAGATCCCTTAGGGAAATAGTTGTTGAATGGTTCACAATATAATTTTCACACCAGTTATAATTATGATTTTAATTTAAAACTGGTATCTTAAACGAAATAGAAAATAATAGTTTCTCATATATTCCCATGTTTATAGATGAATTTCTTCATAATTATTTCAACTCAGGTTTCATGAATCTTTATAGTAAACAATAATCTTCATAAGAGATGAGCTTGCTGTAGAAACTTTACACAATAGAGACAAATAGATATAATTCAGACTATTTTTGAGAGAGAAAACTGGATTCAAATATACCTGAGGTAAACTGCACTTATTTACAAGTACATGTGATTACATATTGATCCTGTTGACCATTCCTTTAATATTATCAATGATAAGGCTTAAAAACTTTACTAAAAGTAAGTGTAAATTTCCCAAGTGCGTGAACAATACTCCCCTCATTTCTTTTCAGTGTCCAAGCAAAACCTACGACCCGCTGATCAAATCAACCCGCGATTTTCCAGATGAGGTCATCAGTTTCATCAGGCGGCACCCTGTGATGTATAAATCGGTATATCCAGTTGCAGGAGGACCAACATTCAAGCGAATCAATGTGGATTACAGATTGACACAGATTGTCGTGGATCATGTGGTCGCAGAAGACGGCCAGTACGATGTAATGTTTCTTGGGACAGGTACCTAGAACCGAATTATGCTTTCTTTCAAAGGCATATTTTTATCATTAGACAAAAAACCTCAAATATACTTATTGTCAAAACAATGTAAGTGATTATTAGCTAATATCTAGTCAGTACATTTTTGTTGTGTGCAAATGTCTCAATCTTTATAGGGAAACAACTCCTCACCCCTCTCCACACGCACATGCACGCGCATGCGCACACACACACCTGACTGTTTCTCATTAGTTGTTTTTGGGGGTTTTAAGTATTTAAGGATTTTTGAGATACCCTTGCTGGTGAATTCTCCAGACCAGGATAGATGTATCTTTTTCCAGGGGGCCACTTGTTAGTCACTATTTCTTAAAATTGGTTGCTTAACACGTGCTTTTTTTGACAATCCTAAATATCTCCCAGCCTCCTTTAGTTATTTGATATTTCAATATATATTTGTACACCGCTGAGCTGCCAACAGGTAGCAGGATGACTCATTTGTACATTATGACTGCAATGCACCTGCTATGGATTAGGTGCTCAAAACATGTTTGTTGAATGACTATGGACTAAAATTAAACAGTTGGGCAAAGCAGTGTTTCTTTTTTTTTTTTTAATTTCACATTTCCCTTTCCCTACAGAGATATTTGTTAAGTCCTACCCCAAAGGATCTCTTCACCTTGTCTTGAGAATCAGTGACTTAGGATGACTTAAGATGGCTTTTCAAAAAAGTTAAGCATTGCTTTGTAAAGCTCTTTAAGTAGAAACGTCTTGGAGTTTATTTTTCTCTTCCTTGAATTTTGTAGATTAAGTATCACTTTCATCATTGGGACCTGTTTTATTATTTTTTCCTGCCAACTCATTAATTACAAAATGATGAAAAAATTTTTTGGAAAGAAAACTATTGCTTATTTAGTGTATCTCAAAAATAAGAAAAGTATTAACTAATAATATCATGTGAATTCTAATGGCAGTAAATATGTATCATTAAAACAAAAGCACTACATCTTAAGTTTGTAATTTAATGGATCAAGCGTTGCATAAAGATAGAAATGAATAGGTTTTCAAGGAAGGAATATTTTTATTGCAATAGGTTTTTAGAAGTGCAGAACAATTTTAGAATAATTTTGTCTTATAGAATATATTAGTTCTACAGGAGTAAGTTTTATTAGAAAGCATATGTGTAAGTGTCCAAGCAAGAGCTTTCCAGAAACTAGTAAAACCTGGTTATGTTTCAGATGGCAATACTGAGGCACAGGAAAAGAAGTTATGTCCCCAAGGCTACAGAGGTTGCTACTGACGCATCAAAACTGGAAATAATTCGGTTGTCACTGATTCCAATGAGTTTGCCACTGAATTTGCATGACCTACCCAAAGCTGATTCCTAGGCCTTGACCATTTCAGTGTCATGAATGCCACTCAGCCACTAGATGGTACTACCTAACTTTTACTGAGAACATGACAGAGATACTAAGATAGACAGATTTTGAATGATGACATTTGGAAAAATGTATATTTAATGTTGTTCAGAGATCCTAGAGTGATTTAAAAACAGACTTGAAGACTCCAGACTATTTTGTGCAAACAGGATTATTACCATCCATGTTAATATACTCCCACCCCCGTGCTCACACATTCAGAAACATCCGTTTTTATTATCATTTCAACCAATATTTAAATGAGACATATGCATTCCTTTTGTTAGGAATATACTCCACACATGTGTCTTTTAGTATTTCCTTTATAAACATGTGTTTTATGAGATAAAAGCTATAATAGTTCAGAAGGGGAGAATCATATGCCATAAGCTTCAGTTCTTGCATGCTTTATTTAATCTTATTTCTTGAAAAACTAGGGGAGTGATGTAAAGGTTGTTAGGAATATACTTACAACTAAACACTGTAGTAGAAACAGCAGGATCATGGGTAACGTATTTTTTTCAGACATTGGAACAGTCCTAAAAGTTGTCAGCATCTCAAAGGAGAAATGGAACATGGAAGAGGTAGTACTGGAGGAGTTGCAGATATTCAAGGTAAGCCTCCGTCCAGGGTTCTAGGGAAAAAGATGGTGAAACCGAGTAGCCCTTGATACACGACATGTTTGTTTTAATACATCATCTCTTTTCCTGTCCTGGAGAAGTTTTTGCAAATAACTCCTTTATTTTCCTTTTCCTTAAGCAATGGAAAAAAAGTTTTAAAAGCATTTAAGAATAGGGCTCACCTTTCCCTGTAGAATACCCCTGAATTCAGGGCTCCTGGATTTGCCCCTCATTACCGCATTCTCTGAGCATATGGTCAGACAAATTGCCACAGTAGATGAAAGTCTGGGGTCTCTTTTACTATCCAGATGCTTTTCTACTTTATAAATTTTACTTTTCAATTTTTCCTCAATTGAATTTGAGAAAACTGGAAGAGTGTATAAATCACGCGTCCCTACTTTTCTGGAAGGAATATTTTTTTAAACAAAGGTTGCATGATAGTAAGTCTCCATGTAGGCTAAACGTCCCTCATCCCCCCAAAGAGTTAGTAGATCTATAATAAAATCATAGTTCTCCAGATTTGGGGAATGTCTTTGAGTTTTAAAAGTAAATTTAAATTGTGGCATTTTTTGTAGACCCTCAGTGATAGTCAATTTAAAATTATTTTCTGAAAATTACATTAGAAATAGAATCGTATTTCTTAGAAGAACTTCTAAAACTATGCTGTGCTTTTTGTAGCATTTTCATTGAAACAGTTTATTAAATGGACTGTTTCCATGTAAACAACTATTGCCTTAAAAGAGAGTAGAGTTCTCCACTGTGAGGGCTCATGGTAATTAACGTGCTGGGTTCCACAGGATCCTGTTTACATTGTGAGGATAATAGTGGTCAAGGAGTTAACAAGAACAAGACCCACTATCTGGCATCTACCGAAAACAAAATCATGAGTGGTTCCTAAGGGAGAAGCTGATGTCAAATATAAGTGTGAACCCAGAGGCCAAAAAATAAAGTCCCCAAAACACATCTACTCATAGGCACATTAGAGTAAGCCTCACTCAGTGGTTGTTAGTGGTCAGGAAGCATTGTCTGGGTTCCACTGTTATGATTAAATAATGAAACCATTTTCTTAATCCATACCAAAAGTTACTGGCTAGAATTTTCTCCCTTTAAAGTTTTCCTTCATATATTTTCTTAAATTTTTGTTGTCTGTTGCTGTTTGTAAATATTGACTGATGAGAAATGAATGATAAATAGATGATAGATAGGTAGATAGATAGAAGAAACATCCTAAAACATTCCATCGTTTGCAGTTAGATAGCTTTTGTGTTCACGTTTCTGATTTGACATTGTATACACACAGCCATATTTTCTACAAATAAAACTGACCTTAGTTTATATCAAGAAATCATGGCCGTCAGCATCTTGCTTGCAGTGTGCCATAAAGAATGTAGTCATCTGCAACGAGCATTATAACTCCTCCAAACGCTGCTACTTGAACAAGTTTTTGAACTACTGATCTAAGTAAGAGCAGAAAGAGGTAATAAATAATTATGGAGATGTTCTTGTCGACACTAGCTTGAATTATATGGAAGCAGTTAAGATAAGCAGATTTAGAAGAAGGAGAAACCTCGTGAGTAACTAGGAACAATTTTCAGTGTAGTGTTTCTCATACAGTTAGGTGATTTTTCTTTAATAAGATAATTTAAAATAACGTTTTTGATAATTTCATTAAGGTTGAATCACTACACATTGGAAGGAAATAGCAAACATTAAGACTTTTTTCTCCCCTCTATATCAGAGCCTTGAAGTTTGCTTCAGTGATCTTTAGTACAAGATAATACGCTGCCTCCTATAAGACACTGTTAATGATTAATAACATTTAACTTCTATTTTCAGCACTCATCAATCATCTTGAACATGGAGTTGTCTCTGAAGCAGGTACATTTCTAAGTTTTATGTAAAAGTTAACCAGAAAAGCAACAGGTTGCTTGAATCAAAGTTCACTTTAAGGGAAAATCCATTGAAATTAGAAGTTAAAATAAATAATATAAAAAGTTTTAGATTATGTGTTTCTTTTGTAACTGATTAAAGGCTATTGTTTCAGCCTTGCCTTAGGAGAAATGAAACCAAATTTCATTAATTGAATAATGTATTCTCCCCTTCCCTTGGCTCTTGAAAATGGAGCTCACTTTTCTAGTCTCATGAGGATGTGTTTCTGTCAAAGCTGTAAGTAATTCATGTAGAATACCAGCCCTAATCATTAAAAATGGTTTTTAATCAGGGAATCTAGGAGTTAGATCATGGACTGTGGTGGCAAATAGCCCAAGAGTTAACCTCTAACCTACCACTTCATATTTGACTCCCAGAATTAATTTCCTCAACAGCAAAGTTAGAAAAAGAATATCCACCTTCTAATAAATAAGGAGCTGCATGCAAAATTCTGGATAGAGAGCTTGTACATTATAAATGTGAAGTAAATGGTAGCTAATAATAATAACACTAATATTTATTATGATTTCACAGTTTTTGGATATGATACTCCAAGTCCCAATTGATTCAAGAGATTCAGATTTACATCCCAGTTCTATATGTTCCCCTAAAATTTAAGAAAGTCATTTGATAATATGTTTAACGTTAAGGTGTTGCTAAAAGTATCTTCGGCTACTATGCTTACTACGGTACAGGCATTATTAGGGAAAATAACTAGAAATTAATCTGGGGAAATAAGACGGAGCAAGATTAGGTACATCTTTATATGTCCTCCTAAGAAGTTTAACAATTTTATCTAAGGACAATGAAATCTTTACAGATTTTAAACAGGAAAGTGTTGTGATAAGATTTTCCTTTAGAAAGATCTGCCTGCTGTGGCAGCGTGGAAGATGGATTGAGTCTTAGGTTAGAGGTGGGGGTTGCTGGAAAACAAGGCTGAAGCTGAGGAGTCCTCCAGGAAAGAAATGATAAGGACAAATGCAAAGGCAGCGGCGGTGGAGTGGGAGAGGAGGCAATAGATTAGAGAGTTCTACGTGAGAGAATGGAAAAGATATGGTGACAGACTGAACGGGAGAGAAAGATTCAATGTCAACTCCCAGCTTTGTGTCTTGGGAGTCTGGGAGGGTGCCTCTTATCAAGTTTGGGTAGCAGGAGTAGATTTAGGGGAATCCGTGTATCTATATTTATGTTGTTTTTAAGATACCTCTAAGTCTGTACAATAAGAAGTGTTCAGCAATGAGACTAGAAAAGAGAGAGCCAACATCTAGTGCAAAGAGAGGAATCATCAAAGAAAACAGAAGGTAGGCAGAAATAAAGAAGGAGAGCCAGAGAAAGCGAAGGGGGTTTCAAGTCCTTAGTGTCAAATGCTGTAGATAATTTAAATAAAAAGAAATGCTAAACAATGTACACTGCGTTCAGCCACCAGGAAATCTTAACTGACAGTTTAATGGGTATAAGACAAATTTCTGTAGCTTGAGTGCATGTATGTTGTTTGTGCCGGTATCTATTTTCTCATTTGTTCCCTCTATTTAAAATTACACTAGAGTTGACCGTGAGTTCTTTGAAGTTACAAACTATGGCTTATTCATTTGTATCATCCTTCCAACCCCTCTCAATATATACACTCAAATGAATACGTATATGTAGGGAGCAGTGCATTATTTTGGGGACTTATTTTCCAAATGTACTTCTATTTGTTAGGTTTTTCAGTATCCTGCAGCCTTTCATTTGTGTTATGGCATTCCTCAAGTCTCCTTAATGTTTTCTTCACAATGATACCAAATCCTTCCTCTCCCACTTAAAACCCATTTTCCTTCAGGGATCAGTAAGTACTTTGTTAGCAAATGAAATGATTAGTTAAAAGCACAGGAAAGATATACAAATCTCTTTCTAGTCATCTCTCATTTAAGAAACCATGTCAATGGAAGGCCATCAGTATTGGTGATAGCATCTGTGCTTGATATCATCTATGAAAGAGTATTTTCAGCTATTGGGAAAGAATTTGACATGATAATTCCTCAGTCTAGCAGCTGTTTTTTGACCTTCTTAAATCACTGCCAAGGTTACTCTAGTTCTGTAGGATGCTGTCCATTTTGGTATCAACATCTTCAAGCCACCATGCTGCCAGGGGGAGAAGTGATTGACTTATCTTACTCTTTGTTATGTGTGTGTACAATGTTTATTATGGGCAGGACACCTGAGGACACAGGTTTAGATCTGTGATGTGGTATTCAAGAAAGAGATGTTCTTAAGACTGGTCTGAAAGATCCTTCTAATTCCTTTGTTTTGCCTGCTTTGCAGCAACAATTATACATTGGTTCCCAAGATGGATTGGTCCAGCTCTCCTTGCACAGATGTGACACTTATGGGAAAGCTTGTGCAGACTGCTGTCTTGCCAGAGACCCATACTGTGCATGGGATGGAAATGCATGCTCTCGATACACACCCACTTCAAAAAGGTAAGAGACACAGAGAGTTCATGTGACGCCTTCCTTTCTATACCATGAATATTGTACACAAATACTTTGTCTTATAGTTTAAAGAGAAACTATATAGAAAACATGGTCTATAGTAGGAATATTAGTATTGAAATATTATTTTATTGTTTTGCATGCATAAAGCCAAATTTTGAAGAATAAAAAGAATGTTCTGAAATTCTGAAATGTGGAACTTCTAAAAATTCCAATACATTGTTTATATTCTTTTCCTTCATCT